CAAGGCATTTTCGTAATTTCTTAACCAGATAATTTCAATATGTCTTTTCAGAGTTATTAACCAACTTCCAGGGCAATTCTTATCATTTTCCAATATAAGGGTAATTTCGTAATTTACCATATCGGAGTATTCTCATAATTTTTCATCCAAGTATCTTTAACATTTAACCCTTGATGATATAAAATAAGTTACAAATCCAGAGCTGATTTCTTTATCACCAATCACAAACTTGTAATTTAATTCTAACAATTATCAATCTCTTATCTTAGTCATTCGATCCGTATTCAGTTACAGAATTTCTACCACATTCATATCGAGTGAATAAATTATTCAACTCCACAAAGTGACAACATTATCTTATTCATGCATTTACCAATATCAACATGTTCCATAAAGCATAAAGAGGTAGTAAAGTATTACCTCGATTTCCGTGCAATACTGATCGACCATAAAAATTCCATTCGAACACCTTTGATCTTCAATTCAACTTCCAATGTTTCCTCGGATCCATATAAACAGAAATTATATCAGAAAAGGAGCTTAATTACGATAAGCGGATCGATCGGGGGATAAATCAGAAAGACGGCTTACCGGGTTCGAATTTGGCGAAACGGACTTCGGATTCGGATTCAGGACGTCGAAAGCATAAAATATGACTTTTCGAAAATTTGGAATTTTCGGTCAAAATCAAAGTCAACGGGTTTGACCAGAAATTTCGAGGCCTTCGGGTTCGAATTTCGAAAAACGGACAGCGGAATCAGATTTGGAACGTCGAAAATGTCAGGATAGGTATACTCGGTCGAAGTCAAAGGTCGTTTAATGCCTGATCAAAGCCGGTCAAAGTTTTGGTCAACATTGGTCAACGCCGGTCAACGGTCAACGGGTCAACGGGTCGGGTCAACAGGTCGGGTCGGGTCAACTGGTCGGGTCGGGTAAATGGGTCGGTTCGGGTAAACGGGTCGGGTCAGGTTGTGACCGGTCAAACCGGTCAACTATCCACTAAAACCGGTCAAACCGGTCACTTTTGTCTTCCCCACGCGCAGTGGGGGCGTGGGGGCGCGTGAACAGTGCAAAAAAATCTCGGAAAAAATTTCTAAAAATTATTTTGAGCGATTTCGAGATACTTACAAAGCTCGGTTCACAATTTTGAACGGCGGAGAGCTCGATTTCAACGAATCGGAAACTTTGACCGCTTCACCTCCTCACGCGCCGCCGTCGACGGAGACCAAGGATGACACCGACAAACTCGGAATGATGCAACGAACACGATGGTGCGGGAGGTGTCGTAAACGGATGACCCGATTGTCGTGAATCGATGAAAAACCAACTAAAACCGAGTTATTACCGACGATACTTCCGACTGAAATTCACGACGAACGGCGATGATTCACGACGAAAGGTTTGAGGGGTTTTGTTCCTCGATTGACAACGAACACGATGGTGGTTTCGGCTCGTCGTTTGGAGGTCGGACGGCGAGTAGATCGGAGTTGGAACTTGGGTCAACGGAAGAGAAAAACTGGAAAATTATACATTCTGCAGCACGGGGGGGGTTATAAATTCTCTCATAAAGGAAATTGGCTAAACCAAAAGTTTAGTCACTGAACTTTACACTTCTTAAACGGTCTGCTAACTTTGAAATCTTACAATTTAATCCCCGATTCCTTCCAAAAATACCAATTAAATCCACCACTTTATAATTTCTTAAATTTAGCCCCTAAATTGGGGTGTTACAGGCAGTTTCTGGATTCGCAACATAAAAGTTAGGATAAGAACATGCAACCATTATTAGCCCTTCTGAATTTCTGACAAAAATTCCTGTTGTGGAGGATTTAGTAGCCAAATCAAAACTTGCACCAAAATTTGTTTTGAACTTGTCATCTGGGCAGAGCCGGTCCAATGAATTTTAATGTCCTGGGCGAAATAATAATTTTATGCCCCTATGCTTGTAACGTATAATAGACAAAATATAATTTTTTTTAAAACAAAAATGTAATAAAAATTATCGTCAAACAATATCAATGCTAATACAAACCAAAACCTACAATGTTACAAATATCACCTAAAATGATGCATTCGTGCATTTTTTGAAGCAAAAACCTCTATTATTTTACGATAATCAAGACTTTGTAAAAATTGACTTTCGATTGTTAGAATTGCTAATCCGTTCAATCTATCTTGAGTCATCGTGCTTCGAAGATCGGATTATTAGAAGGTTTAACTGGTCTAACAATAAATCTATCTAAAGACACATGTAAAGAATTATCTATTTCTTGTTCTTATTTTTTTTCGTTTTCTATTTTGAGCACCCGATGGTTGTTTTCGAGGTAACATATTTAAAAGTAATCAATAAAACAAATATAGTAGCAAGTAAACAATAAAACATGTATATTACCAAGGAAAGATACAACCTGACCGATGATCGAAATTTATGTTGTTGACTTGTTCTTTCTCACTTGTTCTTTCTCACAATCAACTGATCTGAAAAATTAATGATGAAATCAAAATAATCAAAATGAATCACTCTAAAAAATGAATTGTACGAAAATAAAAGAAGATAAGTTAAACAGGAAAGCTATCTACTGCTAGGCTGCTAGCAAAACAGAAAATGCAATCTCATGATTCAAGATCCAGAAAGCACTTTCAAACATTAGCCAGCACTTGCAAACATTTGCAAACATTCTTCCCCACAGGCCTCACACTTGTCTGAATTATTTATGAACCCGTCGCTTTTATATTTGCTTTTAATCTTTGGGACCGGCTGGTTGAAAAATAATTGGGTTCTACAACTATAATTTGCTGCATGTTAAAATTCTGCACTCACTAGTCAAGACTCATTTCAAAAAATAAAATCAAGTGGCATACAGACTACTGCATTTCGTTTTCCAAAAACAGGAACCGGTTTAAGCCCCACCCGATCGAACCAAATGGCTAACTTAAAACCATTAGGCAAGAACAAACTAATACCATTTCCAAAATCTTCAAAGTGAACATGATTCTTTGGACAAACATGCCCCAAAGTAAAAAAAACATTGAGGCACATTCCAGATTCCTTGAACATTTAAAAATAGACAAAGGAGGGAATTTCGATTCAATGCTAAGACGGTAAGACCAAACAGGAAATTCATATTGAACATTTAAAAATAAACCCTTGATTTAAACAAAACTCAGATAAAAAAAATCCCGGTCATACAATAAGTTATCTAATCAATTCAACAAAAACCCATAATATCTTTAAAATCCATAAATAATGGGAATTATATAATAGACAAAGGAGGGAATTTCGAAGAGTACTGGATAGATCAACCAGGTAGATTCAAGAAATTTGTCTCACTACATAAATTATAGAAAGCTGACCTGCGAGAACCGGAAAAGCAGAAATGCATCCAAACACGAAGTAAATCAGAGAATAGTGTGAAGGATCTCGAACAATCGAAAACTGAAAACAACTCAATCTCGGATTCAGTTTTACAAGCAAAATGGTCGTCGTCCTGGTAAAAGCAAAAGAGGTAATAATTGGGAAGGCAAAATATTAGAATGATGCCCCCTTAAATATGATGCCCTGTGCCCAGGCCCATGTGGCACAGGTCCTGGGCCGGCCCTGCATCTGGGGGTGGAGACCAACATTCATTGGCACCGCTAGTAGAGGTACCTGTAGAAGTGTTGCTTGCATCAAACTCTTCTATAAAATTATGAATGTACCTGGTTAGGTCTTTAGGACTCTGAGTAAAATTTTCATGTAGTTTTTTGTTTCGATAAGACCACAAGGACCAATAGCTACTACCTTTCAGCATGAATGAGCAATTTCTCTGGAAAGATAGAGCTGAGCTATTTCCTGTCCTCACTATTCAGAGAGTTATAGTAAGAGATAGGCTGATTACAAGTAGGCTTGTAGATCTTGAACGCTGTTGATACTCGGAGGAGAATGTAGCGGAGATGCTTACTCTGTTTAGTAAAAGTAGTACAAATGATTTTCTTTTCTTTATCAATGTCAGATTTTATATATCTCAAATATGTCCTGTTTTGAAATATCATGTGACAGATAGAAGTGTCTTATAACTCCAAAGTGTATCCTATGGTCATGCATGCCTCCAAATTAAAAGTCTTCCAGAAACATTAGTCTATAAGTATGTTTTCTGCATTAAAATGAACGGAGGGTATAAATACTATTATTTTGGCGTGTCCATGAGATAGCAGCTTGCATACGGAGGTATTTTCTTCAAAGTGAATTTGACTTGCATAATATAGCATCTCTTCTTCCTATAAACCAAGTTGTTTGCGACAAAGCTGGAAAAGGAATTCCACTTTTCTTTCAGAGTTCACAGCCTTTTTTTGAATGGTAATCAGTGATTCACTCTCGGTTACCGAGAGAAACCCCCATCTCTCCATTTGAAAATATATTCTTCTGCCATGAATTTCATATCTGTCCCACTCCCACCGAATATTATTAACTTTTGATTTTAAATGCCTATATAAATAGTCAAATACACACATCAGTTAACTGGCCGGTGGCGAAGTAGATAGATATGGATATATAGTAGCAACTTTACAGAAGCCTTCCAGGCCCAGGCAATAGTATCATAAAGATTATTGATCCTGCATCTTGATTTATTTTTCAAGGACACACACCATCAATCTACTTCTGTCTTTCTCATTTTTTTTATAATAATAAAACCAAATATTCAAGGGGGAAGGTATGAGCTAGCTTAAGGGGATGAATGATGCAAAGTACCGGTTTCTCCCCAAGTAGTCGAAGTGACGCCCAAAAAGAAAGGAAACAAAAACCAATTCACCAGCTGGAAGAAAGATCGAATAAAGAGTGACATAAATCTGATTTGCTTTTAAGTCGGGAATAAATAAGCAGAAGAGTTAAGGAGAGACAACTTTGTCTTTCTTCTTTCCCGAAACAAAAGAAAGAAAAAGCTACCACATTTAATCATCTTTTTCAAAGAATGTCATAATGGGAACGGAGTTTTGATTTTCTAGCAGTTTTTTCCCAACTTTTTCCTATTTTCAAACGCCTTTTCATCTGCCTTCAGGGTGCAATGGGAATAGCTCCAGGGCTCTGCTTTCCTCCTCTTTACATGGCGTTCCGCTGTTTTCTTCCAAGTACTCAAATGACCAACTCTTGCACATCCTCTTATATGGACTATCCTCATCGGATCTTTCCATTATTTCCACCTGTAAGATAAAGCATGATTATTTGGTAAACCTAATGTTTACAGGGGAAACTAAACCAGATACTCATTCTATAATTAAACCAAGGGGAGTACCCTAGTGTCCAAAGTTATGGGAGCTGAGTTCCTGGTAGAATGGGTAAAGCCAAGGCTGCTGCGCTTCAGCTTTTGCCTCTCGCGTTCTTTGTGGTTTTGAAACCAGTAGAAAACGTTTTTGCCTTCGATCTTCCCATACTTTCCTAATTGCGCTGTGATTTGCTCTATTTGTTGTGCATTTGGAGTTCGTATCCCACCTCTATACAGCATCTCCAGAATCCCTATCTGTTCTTGCGTTGGATTCCACCGCGTACCTCCAGCATGTGTTTCCACCTACATGACAAAGTTTGTGGTTCATAAAACTTCTTTCCAAATCCCAGTATTCTTTGCTTGATTAAGTTCCATTAACAACTTAAACTCATAAATAATGTCACATCTTAAAAGAAAAAAATCCTTCTCCTCTCATTGGCAATTGAAAAAAAAAGGAATCATCGTACCATTTTCATAATTGTACATATATTTTTACCTACTCAGACGTAGGTCACTGACAAGGTGGTTTAGTTATAGATTGGCTAAGACAAATAAGGCTGTAAGACGGAAACCGAACTACGGAAGGGATGTTAGTGCCACATACAGCCAAGTTGACAATAGTGAAGTAAGACAAGATAGGATGAGACTGAAGGTAGAGGCAATTAATTAACAAAGGAGGGTACCTGAGGAGAATGGCGCTTCTGGTCACAGGGGACAAGCTTTCTGGGGCCTCTTTCTGGTCTAATGAAGCTCTTGAGGTGGAAAGAGGAGACTGTATCAGGGGAGGAGGCCTGGTGGTGGAGCTTGGGAGCGAGAGGGCGTAAGCGCTTACAGCCAAGGGAGAGAGATGGTTCGTGCTCCCCGAATCCACGTGCCAGCTGGTGCACCTTCATGTTTCCCATGGTAAAGGAGTGAATGATGGAGAGAATGGTGAATTATATAGAAGATCGGAAGGAATCCCAAAAAAAAAGAGTGGGAAATGAGGTGGTGCTTTGAAGAGCAAAGACCAAATGATGAAGTGAGGTTGACTTATGATTAACCTCATGTTAAAAAAAAACTAAAAGAAACAAAGAGGACAGGGGAAGTGTTGAAATAGGGGAATAAACAAAAGAGAAGGGTATAGAGTATGAACGTGTGGGTTGGCCTGGCCACTCTTGCTTTTCGGTGGCCTTTGTGATTTTTCTCCCCTCCTCAAACTCTACTTTTTCTTATCAAAAGATTGCTCCAACCCCAAAACTTGAAAGTGTAACTCTCTTCTTTCACTTTGCAAGATACGGAGACACAAAGAAAGAGAAAGGGGTGAAGGCCGTCCTCTTTCACAGGCATAGAATGTTGAATATACCAAACCAACTAAATTAATCCTACTCATCTATTTTGTGTTCCACGAAAACAACCCTACTTTGGGAACTGTTGCTCTCATTTTCCCAGATTCAATGCCCTAATCTTCAAACCCCATTTAATATATATTCTTGGGCAAAATCTCTCGAGTCTAGCACCTGCCATGCACCATGCAATTCCTAGTACGTTAAAGAAATCCAACTGCATATGTATTTTATTTCATATTAAAATATCATGATAATAATGTTTTATACATTTTTCATATTAATTTTTATTAATATAGAGTAAGTATAAAATAATATATGTTTTAAGATAATTTTTAAATATTTAATATTATTTATTATATTTTAATGATATAATTTAATCTCTCTATTTTTATAATATTAATAATCGTTCAAATAATTAATTATTTTAATTGCAATATTAAATATATTGTTTCTAATAAACACCCTTTTAGCTTGTAACTATAAATTTAAAACATAAATGATAAAATAAACCTTATATATATATATAATCGACCAATATCATTGAGAAATGATAACTTTTGGCAGTAATTATGGATCATGTCTTGCACGTATAAAACAGATAGTGGTAAATAATAAATGCATGTTCCACTTTGTATGATGAGGTTTGGAAAAAGAACTGGGTTTTTTTTTTGACCAGTCACAAAGGAAAGTTTGGAGTGCAATCGATAGGGTTCAACATGTGTGACGCCAACTACACATGCGTGCTTCAATTATATATCCAATCCAAGGGTTCGATACCCGTTGTAATAAAAGGACACGGAGCCATTGGTCAGTCTCTCCCTTTCTACAATAATTTTTGCTTTTTTTAAACCAATTTTGTTTGCTTGTTTGAGCATAATTTTATGAAACAAACTTGCTAGACGTTATTAAACCATGCATATTTTTGTATATAATATTACAAAATAAATATCAAACCATTGTTGGACATTATATATTTGAATAAATATACACTTAAAATATATATGTCTGAACATATATTAGAGGGAAAAAATAAGGTTAACTTCAGTGGGAAAGAAAGAAAGAAAGAAAAAAGCCAAATGGATTTGAAACGTCATATTCCTGAAATAGAGAAGAGCTGAAACTTCCAAAATGTAAAATGTAATCCCAAAACTCTAACAAAATTTGCTGTATTGCATTTGTAAGCTTATCTACTGCCTTAGCTATCCTGTCTATAGTCAAATAAATATAGGATTCAACTTTTGGGATTTTGTTGCCGGGCGCAGATCTGGCCTTTCCCTCCCGACCTTGGACCTAGCCATGCACTGCCAATAGAATCCAGACATTGACAAACTTGCCAATACACTCTTTGAAAATGGTTGCTTTTGCTAAACAGTTCATTTTCATCCTGAGCTCTTTGGAGACACCGGTTTTTGTCTCGAGTTTTTAGGCGTTTTTTTTAATTTTTTTATATTAAATATTAATAATTAATTTCTTTTTTCAGGCCCAATTACAAATCCTGACCCAAATCCAATCAAACCAAACTAGCCCAAATACAAACCTACCTAAACCGGCCCAATAGCCCAAACCTAAACTAAACCCTAACTTAATCTAACCCTAACCTTAAGCTCCCGCTACCACTGTTCATTGCCGATGAAACCTACCACTTTCACTGTTCCACCGTCATAAATATCCCTGTTTCAAAGAAAAAATCAAATCAAACCCACTCCCCGAAAAATCTGAGGAGCCATCATTACAACCCCATCTACCCTCTTCTATCACCCTAGTCTCACCAAACGAGCAACCACCATCATTTTATAATATAGGGCAACCATTTTTGATAAGGGAGAAAAAAAAACAACTAAAACCGAACAAAAGTCGGAACAAGAAGCCAAAAAAGAAAGAAAGAAGAAATAGAAGTGGAGAACTTATCTTCAACGTTGATCATCGAGAAGCTCAAAGGTCACCAGAGTTGAAGAATAAGAGAAACTCTTTCGTAGATCTACGATTTTTTGGAGTGTTTTAGTCCAAATGGAGCCCAAATTCGTATTAAGGCGTGAACTGACTTTGATAAGTGGTCATCCTTCACTTCTTCGTAGCCGTCAAATGACGGTCGGTGCCAATTCACAGTGATTTTTACGACGGAAGCTCGTTGATTTCTTAAAAGAGAAGGGAACCAACGAGACTTTGGGAAATTCCCTCCCATTTTTTGGTACTCCAATGGTCACTAATGTTTAGGTAAGTTTTTATTTTCACCACTAATGTTTCGAAAGTCACAAATCAATCACTAACATTATCGTTTGTTACAAATTAATTACTCATCATTAACAGACGTGACAGAAAACACTCGTGGACTGTTAACAAGCTTACCTAGATGATATAATTACACAAATAATTCATATTATTTATATATTCTTTCAATTTGATTCTAATTTTAATAAATTAAAATCGTACGATCGAAATACCTTCGGCTAACTTTCCATCAGTCAACTTTACTGCAGCAATGCACTTAATAGTCCTTGTCCCGTCGATTACCTCGCGTCTATCCACCATTATCTACCGTCAAACGACAACAAGTCGGAGTCAACGAGTGAGGATTTAGACTTACCCGTCGATGCATTTTCATGCCAACATTTTCGGATGTACCAGTTCAAGGTGAGGAGGTGCGCGCGTGGAAGGTCACATGACTGGACCGTGTGTCCATACGCCCACCCTGGTGAAAGCCCGAAGAAGGGACCCGAGGAAGTTCCATTACTCCGAAACTACTTGCCCCGACTTTCGCAAAGGAAACTGTAAAAGAGGTGATTCTTGTGAGTTCGCTCACGGTGTTTTCGAGTGTTGGCTCCACCCTGCTCTTTATCGTACTCAGCCTTACAAGGGCGGAACCAGTTGTAAAAGAATGGTTTGCTTTTTTGCTCACACTCCGGAACAACTTCGGGTGTTGCCACAGCAGAACCCGATAGGAAATGGATCTGGTTCAAGTGTTTTGGATCATGTTGGTTCTCTCATGCGCCACCGTCAGGAGTTTGGTTCTTCACCAACTTCTATTTTGACTTTGCCTCCTTTATCCCCATCTTTTGAATCACCTGCTACGTCACCCAGTGGCTCATTTAATTCGGTGAATGAACTTGGTGCTTCTATGCGAAGTCTGCAGCTTGGTAAGGCCAAAATGAGTTGTACCTATTCCCAGGGACTGCAAATGGAATCTGAAATCGATTCTCCTTGTGGTTTCACACTTCCACCGACTTTTTCAGCTCTCCTTCAACTCCGACCCGTACACTGACTCAGTTTAGCCTCGGAAAATGTGACTTCTGGGAATGCAACGCTTTCAAAGAGGAACTTGCGATGGAGAAATTGGAGTCTGTGAGAGACTTAAGGGCAAGTATGTATGCAAAGCTGAGCAAGGAAATTTCTCTTGGCCGTCTTCAACCAACAGGGTCGGGTCCTGATGTTAGATGGGTATCTGAGTTGGTGAACTGAAGCTGGTTCTTCGGAAAGGATTGGCTACTTGCCATCTGTTTTTATTTTACTATTGAAAGCAAAAGGGTAAGATATAGCAAAGAGTAAGGTGTTTAAAAATACCCTATTTGTTATAATTTGTTTTTATAACTAATTTTAAATTTTTGATTTTCCCGTTGGACTTAAAGATTTAATTATTTTGTATAAAAATATATCATTATTTATAAGAATTAAAAATAAATATATTTTAATTTATTAAAATTATGATCAAATTGAAATAATATATAAATAAAATAGATTGTTTGTGTAATTATACCATCCAGGTAAGCCTGTTAACAGCTATTAACAGTCCATGTGTGTTTTTCGTCGCGCCTGTTAACGGCGAATGATCAATTTGAAACAAACGATAACGTTAATGATCGATTTGTAACTTTTGAAACATCAATGGTGAAAATAAAAACTTACCCAAAAATTAATGACCATTGGAGTAGTTTACCCCCATTTTTTAAGCATTCGAATGACAAATGAATTTTTAGGGTTTTATAATCCATAAAGAGATTTATATACCTTGCGCAAAATGACTTAGTTTAGAAAGTTAGGTCTTACAGATTTCAGCACGTGGGTTAATAGCCTTTGTGATCATTTAAGTTTTGTATGATTTCATTTTGGTCACTAATTATAAATTTTTCTTTTCACATTTTTTGCTTCTAATTTTACTTGGTTTATATTATATTTTAGTCACTACTCTAATTAATATTGTATGCTATGGATTTATTCCATTTTGGTCTCCGTGTTATTACATGTTAGAAAATATTTATTTTCTCTTTAGGTCTCTTTCGTTATATTATGTATTTATTTTAGTCATTGTCTAGGCTTTATTGGTTTATTTGCATGATTAACCCCTGTTTTCCATGTGCACTTCAGATTTAATTCATAGTATAGAACATTGATTTGCACATTTAATCTCTATACCTTCCTACCGTTTTATTTTAGTCCTTATATATTTCTTTATGTATATATATAAATATAGTTTTTATACCTTTTTTATTTATTCCTTTACGAATATATATACACATATTATATCTATTTGCCTGTTAAATAATTTAGACAATAAATATCCGTGTGTATTATTTCATTTACTAATACTAAATATTTTGATATTTATATTATTATTATTATATATATTTTTTGTTAAAAC